CTTGAGTGAGCCACTTAAACTTCATGGGACTCAGTTTCCTGAGTTATAAAATGAAGGGGTTAGACGAGATGACCTCTGATCTCCCTTCCTTTTCTAGACCTATGATCCTATGGTCCTAACTCAACAGTTCTCTAATAAAATGACTGTCTATAATGACAAACTATACATTTTAGCCAACATTTCTACAATTTTATCCTTAAATCTCTTCAAAACTCTTATGGGTTGTCTTCTAATCTAATCAATTTATTTGCATCTTATTTTGATGATTTAGTTTTACCATTAATTTGTGCATTTACCACTAATCATATCCACTAAAATATCCAATCAGTTGTCAAATCTTGTTTCTATTTTTGTGACATCTCTCTTATATGTAACCTCTCCACTCACACAGTCAATAATACTGTAGTTCATGCCTCTTTTCCATGATAATGGCATATCCTTCTATTGCTTTTGAAATCTCTCTCTTATATTACTAATATAATAATAATAATATTAGCTAACATTTGTATAGCACTTACTATGTGCCCCACACTGTGCTAAGCGCTTTACAAATATTTCCCTTGATCCTCACAACAGACTGCCAGGTAGGTTTTATTATTATCCCCATTTTACAGATAAGGGAACTGAGGCAAACAGAGGGTAAATGAATTGCCCAGGGTCACACAGCTAGTAAGTGCTTGAGTCTGGATTTGAAGTCAGGTCTTCCTGACTCAAGGTCTGATACTTTATCTACTACGCCACCTAGCTGCCCCATGTTTAACTTCCCCCTTTTTCTCTGTCTCCTCTGTGTCTGTGTCAGTCTGTCTCTCTCATTTTCAATTTCTCCCTATTACTCCTTTCCCTGCTGCCTAGAAATACAGTCATGTGTACCCCATCCTTAAAAAATCCTCACCTGATGCTACCATCCTTGCTAGCTCTCATCCTATGTCTATTCTCCTTTTCCTGGCTAAAATCCTTAAGAAAGCCATCTATACTCCATGCCTCCATTTCCCCTCCTCTTACCCTCTTCTAATCTCTGCAACCTAGCTTTCACCCTCATCATTCAACTGAAACTGCCTTATTCAAAGTTACTAGTGATTTCTTAATTGCTAAATCTTTTGGCCTTTTCTCAGTTCTCATACTTCTTGACCTCTATGAATTTGACACTGTTAATCACCTTCTCCTCCTATATACTCTCTCCTCTCTAGATTTTCATGCCATTGCTTTCTCCTGGTTCTCATTCTCTATGACCACTCCTTCTTCATCTCCTTTGCTGGTTCGTCATCCATCACAGTCATTAACTTGGTGTCTCCCAAGGCTTGGTCCTGGGCCCTTGTTTCTTCTGTACTATCTCAACTGGTGATCTCATCAGCTCCATGGGTTAATTATCAGCTCTATGCAGATGATTCCCAGATCAATATATCCAGCCCTAATGTCCTTCCTCAGTTCTAGTACCATATCACCAACTACTTTTTGGACATTTTGAACTAGATGACCCATTGGTATCTCAAACTCATTATGTCCAAAACAGAATTCATTATCTTTATCCCAAACACACCTCTCTTCCAAACTTCCTTACAAATGTCAGGATTCTCCCAGGATCACCATTCTCCCTGAATTCACCAAGGCTTGCAGCCTTGGTGTCATCATCAACTCCTTACTGACATTCATCTTGCCTATCTAGTCTGCTCTCAAATTTTGTCATTTCTATTTTCACACCATCTTTCACATACACCCCTTTCTGTCCACTTATACAGCCACCACCATATATCTAGTGTTTATCACTTCACACCTAGACTATTGTGATGGCCTTCTAATTGGTCTCCCTGCCTGATCCCACTTCACTCTATTCCATCCTTCACTCAGCTACCAAAGTGATTGACTCAAAGCTCAAGACTGACAGTGTCTCTCCTCCCCACCCCCAAATGATTCCAGGGGTTCCCTATTGCCTCCAGGATCAATTATAAAGCCCTTTCTCTGGCAGCTAAAGCCCTTTACAACGTGGCTTCTTCCTACTTTTCCAGTCTTATATTTTACTCCCCTCCACACTCTGGCTCACCTGCTGTACCTTTGCTCTGACTGTCTCCCATGCCTGGAATGCCCTACCCCGTCTCTGACTCTTAGCTTCCCTGGCTGCTTCAAGATTCAGCCCAAATACCCCATATACCATCTTCCTGATATCCCTAACTGCTATTGCCATCCTTTCCAAACTACTTTATATTTAACTCCTTTGTATGTATTTGTATTTTACAACTTTACATTTGTGCTGTTTATATTTTTGCATGTACTTCTTGTCTCCTCCATTAGAATATAAGTTCATTGCAAACAGAGATTGTCTCATTCTTTTTACTTGTATCTCCAGCATCCAACATAAGGCCTGGCCCATAAGCATGTAATAGGAAATAAGAAGGAAGAAATGGAATAAGCATTCATATAGCACTTACCACATGCCAGTCTCTGTGCTAAGTACTTTACAAATATCTCATTTGATCCTCTCAACAATCCTGGAGGTAGGTGCTATTGTTATTATTATTTTATACTTGAGGAAACTGAGGTTAAGTGAGGTACCCAAAGTCACACAGCTAATAAGTGTATGAGGCTGGATCTGAACTCAGGTCTTCCTGACTCCAGACTTAGCTTTTTTTCCAGCTTTCTATCTTTCTGGTGCTGTCTTTCAAAGGATCATGAAGCCTGCCTTGGAGTAGGGCTATACTAACAAAAAATAATATACCACAGGCTGGCATAGACATCTATTAGTAAAGACTCATGATCATTATAAACATTATATTTAACTAGAAGGTAAAAGTACGATATCATATGTCATATGTTTGTATCTGATCATAATGTATAATTACGATTCCCCATCCCTATGGATAGGATGATTCAAGTCTATAAAAATTAAGTGCCTGAAATGTGCTGCTAGACACTGGAGTAGATATTTATCAATCAATAAGGTAGTCCCCTGTCTCATGGAACTTACTATCTTGTGGAATTAGGGAGGAATCATAGAATATGGCACATATACAAATAACTATAAAAACAAAATAGAACATAAGTGCATAATAACAGTATGAAGGGCTATGTAGGGTTAAAGGAAGTTTAACTGAGATAATCAGGAGGACTTGGTGAAGGAAGTGCAATTTTAGCTTATTAGATTAGAACTGGATCATGAGGTATGGATAGAAACTCAACAGGCAAACGGAGTTCAAGAGAAAGGCATAGCATCATGGTGCCCAATACCCTAGGTCACCCAGTGCTACTCTGGGCAATCTCCATTTGAAATAGGACCCAGGAGGAAACTCAGAAGTTCACAATTCAAATATGCTGAACTACTCAGAATCTGATTCAGCTATCTTATACCAGTGCTCACTCTGTACAGGCATACACTAAGCATATATGTTGGGGAGGGGGACTGCCAACCATTCTCCTATCATAGTCTCTCTTCTCACCCCATAACCCTGCTCAGGACACTTACAAGATATGTGGTAACTGCTTAAGCTCTCAGCCACTTTCCCATTCACACTCAGGTCATTACATGTCCCTCTTCTCCCATTGGTGAGTTGCTTCCAGACCCTCCATGTAGGGACTAGCCTAGGCCAATCATGCTTCATTCTTCTCCCTGGTCTATGACCAGTGTGGGTACCTTCTCTTCTCTTCCTCCCTTTTCAGTTCCTTTTTATGTGTTGTCTTCTTCCATCAGAATGTAAGCTCCTTGAGAGTAAGGGCTTTCTTTTTGCTTGTATTTTTATCATCATTGCTTAGTACAATGCCTAGCACATTTATTGTTGTTGTTGTTCGGTCGTTTCAGTCCTGATTCTTCATGACCTCATTTGGGGTTTTCTTGGCAAAGATACTGGAGTGGTTTCCCATTTCCTTCTCCAGTTCATTTTACAGATGAGGAAACTGAGGCAAAGTTAAGTGACTTGCTCAGGGTCACATAGCTAGTGTTTGAGCCCAAATTTGAACCCAGGAAGATGGGTCTTCCTGATCCCAGGCCCAGCACTCTACCTTCCATCACCTAGCTGCTCCAGGTATGATGTATAGTTGGGAGTGTCTGGAATTAACAAAGAGGGGATACAAAGATAGTTCCTGTGACCCCAAATCCAATAAAACCCACCACTATGGAACTGGGACTTTGTCAAGACCCTCCAAAGATTGGAAAGTATTCCTAACTGTTTGTGAAGCACTAAGGTTGGGTCTGAAAAAGAATCGACCATTTTTTAAAGTTGATCACTAAGTTGCCAAACCAATTGTCCTAAGGTCAATCCAATTTAATCGTTAAAATGGCTTAAATAACTGGAGACAGAAGTGGGTGGATGAATGGGGGGGAGAGAAAGGAATGAAATTAATTAGGCCAATCACATGGCATCATCTTCATCTGTCGTCCACATGAAACAAGTGGAGGGAAGCCATCTATCAATTTCCATTACCAACACTCAAGTTTCTAAAGTAGCAAATTAGTAGATCTATTTGAATATACAAGCAGCTGGGTGGATGACCTAGAAGTACTGCTAGCACATGGTTGGCTCCCTGATATTGCCTATCAGATTTTGCCGCCTTCTCTCAGCCTGCAACCACGAGGCACCAAGGTGCAGGAAGAGCATCTTCGGTGGGCCAGGAACACGCTCTCACGCCTTCCTCCACGCCCTTATGCCTCTGAAAAAGAGAGAGAGAGAGATGGAGGGGCCGAGAGGACAATGAGCAATCAGGAAACAGGCCAAACGAAAAGCTTTCCACGCTAAAAAGCCCTTCCCCTAAATCTGTGTTTGGAAAGAATTTGGAATCGTCTAGGCAACCTCGAACGTGGCTCATGCCTGAGCACAGCGACCTCGAACTACATGTACATAGTGGAACTCGCCTTCCAAGAATCCAGCTCCGCCCCTGGACTTGAGACCCCATCCAGGGGCGCCGATTGGGTATCCCTCCAACCAATGGGAGGCCGCGTTCTGAACGAAGCCTCGAAGGCGCCTGCGCCAATTCAACTTGGGCTGTGACCGTTACCTGGGATACGCTTTGTAAACAGGAGAGCGGGAAGGATCCCGCCAGGCGAAGGGGGAGAGTTGGTGTTCCGGGCTCTGGTTTGAATCTCGGTTAAGTTCAGTAAGGAGTGCAGTGCTTTTCGTAAGCCAAGATGGTAAGTGGGACCTGGGGTTTGAAAGGTGAGGCACCCTAGGTGAGAAACTAGTTCCTGCCTGGGCACCCCCTCTTTTCCCTTTCTCCCCTGCTCGTATCCCTCTTCACTCCTCCCCCTTCTCCCTCTCCTTTCCTACCTCCTCCCCTTCCCCCCATCATCAAACTCTGCTACCCAGGAATCTGGAAATCTAGTTTATATCTAACAACACCAAGAAAGCTTGAAGATTTGCATTCCCCCACCCACCACCACCCCATTTAGTTAATTAACTTCTGCAACTACAGGCTTCCAGGCCTTTTGTTCTTTGGCACCCTGGGTGGGAAGGACACTATAAAATCTCAGCTTTGGAAGATTGGATTAGGTAGTTCTGGCTAGTCAGTAGATTTACTGGAATTATGTTAGGGGAGTTTGACAGTGATATTTAAGAAAAGCAGTTTGTGGGTAGGAAGAGGTCAGCGTGTTGACCTAATTTATACAGTTCTCTGAATTCATGAAGGAAAATAAAAGCACTATCTTCATTTCTTTGCAAACACTTGTCACAGTCAACTTTTAAGCTTAATGTTGACATTCATCTGAATGTTTTTCATCCTCTAATCTTTCCTCCTGTCCTCCAATTCATTACCTCTTCTTTTCTTCTCTCCTTTCCCTTCCTCTTTCCTTACACTCCATTTCAAAGGATGGAAAATAACATAAAATCACTTGTTATAAGATTTTATGTAAGGATGATTATAATAATAGCTGACATATAGCACTTTAAGGTTTGCAAAGTTTTTTTTTTTTAATAAGCATCTTTGATCCTTACAGTTTAGGTTTGATAACTGGAGTTTTATGGAAAAAATAAGGAAACATAAATGGTGTTATTTTTCATTTTAGGCCACCTCAGAAAAACAAAAGTTGAGTGTTGCAGAAAAACATCAGAAAACAGTAAATGAAAACTTCTTTAAGAAGGTACAAATCGAAGGGCAAGTAAAGCTTGGAGAACAAGTCAGAATACAGAAGATGATGATAGCAAATGATGAACGTATTGCACGGAAAAGAATCCTCCGATTACTACAGGATGAACAATTTGAATTAGACATGGAAGAGGCTATTCAAAAGGTAAGTGCTTCCCAATATAGTATCTCAGATTACTTTTTCTTCCCATTTCTATTGAGAAACCATGAATGCATGCAGCTAATGTTGATTACAGTCCATTGAAAATGATACAGGTAATAATCGTAATAATAATTCATACTTACATAGGACTTTAAGATGTACAAAATGCTTTCGTCACAATAACCTTATAATAAGGTTATGTAATGGAAAGCTGTAATTTTTAACTTGCACTTCTTTTTCATAGAACTGTACCATTCTACTTCCATTAAGCTCTACAGATGGGAACTTGTGATTTTTAAAATATGTGCTTTAAGCTTTAGTTTACTGAAGTAAGAAAAATGAATATTGTTTAATCTTAATACAAAGATCTGTGATCTCATTTCTGTGGGTCCTTTGTACATCTCACGACCTCTCTTCGTCTTCTCCTGTGCAAGTCTTTTTCTTGTCTTTCCTTAATTCTTTCATAGATGATTGACCCAATGAAATGGAAGCTACCTTCTGGATCTTTTATTCTCTTTGAGATACGACTGTGGCACTTGTTTTTTTAATCTTTTGTCTCGTATTAAAGATTCAGGGATTTTAAGATCCCGCTAAATATATTTGTTGATGATTTCAAAGAATCTTTAAATCAGTAGACTAAAATACAGCCTGACTCTCCTTCAATAAATTGTCTCCCATATGCAATAAGATTACACAAAATTTCTTGAAAGAGTTAGCAACAGAAATAACCTTATTTGACCTTCTCATTGTTAATATCAAGCAATGAATAAAACAAAGATATATACTTGCAAAGAGTGTTTGCCACTGTCATAGAGTACGTCCAACACAAAATGCAAATAGAAGAAAGATTCCTTATAGATTCTGAAGATTTTTTCTTTGGAGATAACACTGTGCGATTGCATCAAGTTTCTGAATACTATAAAGTTAACCCAGGGAGATCCAGAGCAACTCAGAAGAGCTTAACTTAACGGTTCATACAAGATAAACCAACTCGAAGAATGATGCCTTATGATTACAGTTGGAAGAATAACCCTTTGAATTGGCCCATTCAGTACATATATTTCGGGCACACCTTACAGATGGATAGTAAGCTGGATCTAGACTTAACAGGCAAAGACAGTGGGTTGTTTTGAATTTAGAAAATTGTGCAGTGATTTCCACCATCCCAGGCTGTTCCTGAAACAAAAATTCATCTTTTCAACATCATTTTTCCCCTAACTGAACCCTATAATCCGAAGAATCAAAATTGTGGATAGCCCAAAGGGCATCACGAAGAGAATTATGGTGGACATAAATAGCAACATATTACCAATAATGACTTGCATAAAGATGTGGTCTAAAATATCTTCCAGAGTATGATAGGAAAAAGAGATGGGTCTGTCATTTATTAAGAGCAAGAAATAAAAGACAGAAAGCACAGGTGCTGTTTCAGTATCCAATGATTATTAAAAGACCAGTAGGAAAGCCTCTAGTGCACTTACAGAGGTATAGGGGTAAGGCATTGACAAGAATTGCACTGGATGAAAAGGTATAGATAGGTTATTGTAGGAAATACCCAAATTTATGAAATCATAGATCCATTGAAATATTGATGTATGTGTGTAAGGCTCTATGCCTTACATCCTTATCTGTACTTTGTAAAAGCAACATATCATTCCATTCAGTCGTAAGACTTGGTTCAAATTATACTAGTAATGCTTATATTGCTTCCTTTCCTTAAACACTTTGCCTCAATATGACTCTTCTATGGCTAGAAACACTAGTTCACTCTCTTGGTGAAAGTTTCTCACTTCTGTGGTTCAGATGCATTACCTTTCCTGCTGTGCTAACAAGAGTGTTTAATTAGTATTCTTTATTAAACATCCACCTTATGCAGAGCAGTCTACAAGGTAGTCTGTAGGGAGTTACCAAAAATAGAAGATGTAGCTCTTGCTTTTGAAGAGCTTTAGTTTAATTCAATTAAACAATCATTTACTGTGTTCAAGACACTGCTACTGCTAGAATCTGGGGATATGAAAAACAAAAATGAAACACGCTCTGCCCTCAAAGAGAATGTTACATTCCTGCTGAAATTGCAATAGAAAAACTAATAAACCGACTCTTATTGAAATACAATTTTCTAATTCTGGAGAAGGAAATCTAAAATTATTTTCTTTGGGTAGGCAGAAGAAAACAAAAAGATGAAGGCAGTGCAGCTGGAACAAGAACAGAAATTGGCTACAGAGCTGGCAAAACTAAAAAATGAAAGTTTAAAGGATGAAAAAATGAGGCAACAAATAAGAGAAAACAGGTATCTTTATTTCTTTAAATTGCAAATCATGTATAAAATTTAATTTTGTGTGATTCAACACAGTATTAATTTGTAATATAATAGTTTGAATCAAAATTTTCTATAGAATGATAATTAAAGCCATTTTATGCTGCAGATATTTATAAGCACTAGAACATTCATCTCAAAGGGAAAGGAAATATTTTAAATGGCTTTAAATATTTAAATGGATAAATTTTATGCTGGTAGAAAATATTTTTTAATATTTAACCTAAATAAGTATACAACTTTCATATTTTTTTTATATGAAACTTGAAAAACATGACATTACACTGAATAGTAGAAATGCCTTGACTAAGACAATTCCAAAGGAGTCATAATGAAAAATGCCATCCATCTCCAGAGAAAGAACTGATGGAGTCTGAATGTAGATCAAAGCATACTATTTCTCAGTTTCTTGTGTGTGTATGTGCTTTTTTGATCTGTGTTTTCTTTTATAACATAATAGGGAAATAAGTTTTTCATTAGTGCACATATATAACCTATATCAAATTGCTTGCCATCTCAGGGAGAGAAGGAGAAAGAGAATTTTTAAAAATGAATGTTAAAAAATGTTCTTACATGTAATTGGAAAAAATAAAATATTATTAAAACCGAAAGAGAAATCAGAAGAAAAAGAAACACCTTGATTAGCTGTAACCCAGCTAATCAGAAAACTAAACTAAGTAGGATTTTTCTCTCTTGCAATCCTATTTTCAAGTGATAAGTAATTAAGCTAATATCTAGGACATATCAGAAAATTAAAAGACAACATGTCCTCATCACAGTATTTATCCAGCTCAAATCTGCAATACTTTCTTAGCATCACTAGAGCAGGAAGTCCACAGTGTTTAAATAAAGTGTCTTCCAGAAGTTTATTTGTAAGTCTGTCAAGAGTTTGGAACACATTTTGGCATACCTTTTTTCATTAGCTAACATTTACTGAGTACCTTGTATATGCAAGGCACTGTGTGGAGAGCTGTGAAGTACACAAAGATTTATAAAACATGGTTCCTGTATTCCAGACATTTAGAATCTTGTAGAAAAAATAACACGGGTGAAGAACCCGTGATACAAAGCAGTATATAAAAAGTACCACAATAGTGGTATACTTAATACTGAACAGGACTTTAAAAAAGGAACAGATCACCTTAGGTGAAGCAATCAGGGAAGACTTGATGGAGCAGAGAGAAGTAGAAAATGTTTACGTTTCCATGCTAGCCAAAAGCCTATTTTACTGTATTTCAAATACTATCTTCTTGCAATGTAAAAATATTGTAGTAGAAAACAATAATGTTGCAGATATATGGTACTTCAACTACATCATGGACTAAAATGGACTTTTTAGTGGAAAAAGGCATCCTCTCCCCCCAACCCCCATCCTCACTGTATTAACCCTATTCTTTTTTTGCTTCTTTTTTTTTTTGGTGGGGCAATGGGGTGAAGTGTCATGCCTAGGGTCACACAACTAGTAAGTGTCGAGTGTCTGAGGCCAATTTTGAACTCAGGTCTTCCTGAATCCAGGGCTAGTGCTCTAGCCACTGCGCCATCTAGCGGCCCCAACCCCTCTTCTTTTTTTTCCTTAATAGCATTTTTTTCCAATTACATGTAAAGATAGTTTTCAAAATTCATTTTTGTAGAATTTTAAGTTCCAAATTTTTCTCCCTTCCTCCCTCCCCAAGACAGCAAGCAGTCTGATATAGATTATACATGTACAATCATGTTAAACTTGTTTCCATATTAGTCATGTTGTGAACGAAGAATCAGAACCAAAGGGAAAAGCCATGAGAAAGGGAAAAAAAACCCCAAAAGTGAAAATAGAATTCTTCGATCCAAATTCAGATTCCATAGTTCTTTCTCTGGATGTGTTTAACACCTATTCTTACCACTCTAGCCCCAAGGGCACCTTAGAAAGAGAAGGAAACACTTCTGCTCTGGGAATATGTCTTTTCCTGCCATGACATGGCCACATTTGTATTTATGGGATGTTCTGAAGTTGAGTATAATTTTGAAAATACAGTGAAAATTGAGACGTTGAACTAGATTGTTTCTGAGGTCCCTTCCAACTCAAACTAAACTCTAAATAATCTTCTCATGGAACAGATTTGACGATATATATATATATATGTATATATATATATGTATGTATATATATATGTATATGTATATAGCATTTAAGACCTTCCATAATCTGGCTTTAACCTACCTTTTCAGTTTTTCCTCATTCTAATCACCTTCATGAACTTTGCATTCCAGCCAAATTAGACTATTAGCTGTTCCTCAAACTATATACTCTGTCTTCTACCTCCATACATTCCCATGTCCTTGGCTGGAATGCACTCTCTCCTTATCTTGTCTGTTTATAACCCTTGTCTTCCTTAGAAATTAATTTCCTACCTTCTCTTATGAAGTGAGCCTGCCTGGATCTTCCCTAGTTATGGTCTCCCTCCCTCCTCCAGTTACCTTATATTATACTTGTTCTATATCCCAGTAGAATGTAAGCCCCCTCAAGGTAGAGAATATTTTACTTTTGTTATTGTATCCCTATTACCTAGCATAATGGCTTGCATATAGAATGTGTTTAATATATTTCTATGGTGATATTAATTCTGTAATACTACAGTGTTTAGAATGGCTCAGGAGTACAATTTCTTTAGTCATCAAAAAAATCTAATTACATTTAATATGGTGTTTTAACTAAGGCAGAAAAGTGTATCAGCACACAAAAATATTTTAGTTAAGTATAGAAACAAAATGTTTTCTGGTTAATAGCTTAGTCTCTGAGCATTTTGGTTAATTAAGGTTTTATTAAAGTTGTATTATAACATATTTCTTGTAATTTTATATACTTTTTTTTTTTAGTGAGGCAATCGGGGTTAAGTGACTTGCCCAAGGTCACACAGATAGTACGTGTCAAGTGTTTGGTCTGAGGCCGGATTTGAACTCAGGTCCTCCTGACTTCAGGGCCGGTGCTCTATCCACTGCGCCACCTAGCTGCCCCTATATATATATACTTTTTAAAATCCAATTCAATAAATAGTTATTAAATACTATGCACAGATCACTGTGTTAAACACTGATGAAAGATAAAAATTTTAGATAAAGGATCTGTTTCCTGACCTCATGGAGTTTATAGGCCAACAGGAAACACACAAATGTATACATATATATTTATGTATGTATATATACAAATATATGTATATATACATACATTTATATTTAATCACATTATTTAGTGAATGCTGGTTTTGTGAAATGTTGGTTTTGCAAAAGTCTGTTTTTGAATTTTTGGAAAAGAATAAGGAAAACATGTTTTAATATAATTCAAATTTGGTATTTAATATATTGTATATACTAAATCAAACATAGATTCTTGAATAGTTCTTAAAGAAAATAAATTATCTAATGTCTCTTATTGGTTAAATGAATTTTTTAAACAGTCTTGAACTTCGAGAATTGGAGAAAAAATTGAAAGCAGCTTACATGAATAAAGAAAGGGCTGCACAAATTGCTGAAAAAGAAGCCATCAACTATGAGAGGATGGTAATACTTTTTTCTTAAGACATGTAGTAATTTTATTGTATGTGGATAGTTCTGAAATAAACTATAGCTAAAGTCATAACATTTCTTTTGCCCTGCTATGCTTAGTTTCATCCCTTTACAAAATATTTAAATTATCAAAATATAATATATTAACATTCCTAAGCCACTGATATCCATAAAAATAAAACAGTAGAAGACAGGCAAAAAAATAGTGTGTGTGTGTGTGTGTGTGTGTGTGTGTGTGTGTGTGTTATGTCCACACATACTCAGATGCTCAAAAGGATCTGTGATCTTATTGATGTGGATGTTTCTTCCAGTGATGCAAATTACAGTCCATCACTGCCTGCCCAGTAAGTTCACCACAGGCAATCCACTGAACAAGCTAAAGGGGTTTTTTCTGATTTTGAGGATATTAGGGAAGCAAATGGGTTGTCCTATTTCGCGTCCACATGGTCCACATGATCAGCCTATCTCCTTTTTTTTTTGATCAAATAATTCTTTAAATGACCTTCTTTACTCTTAATTCTTCTTAGTTCCTTGTGTGTTAGGTACTGTAGTCTTCTCATACCCACCATGTACCTCTCTATTGCCCTCTGAGTGATTTTTAAATTATTATTATTTTTTTGTTTGCTTTTTGGGAGGCAATCCTGTGGTTAAGTGACTTGCCCAGGGTCACACAGCTAGTAAGTGTCAAGTGTCTGAGTTCAAATCTCAGGTCCTCTTGACTCTAAGACCAGAGCTCTATCCACTGTGCCACCTGGGTGCCCCAATTTTTTAATTCTTTAGAGACTATGTAGTGTTCTATGATTTAGGCATACAGCAACATTGGTAGAATATAGGTATTAAAAAGATGGACCCCTATTTCTGAGAGAAGATTTTTAAGGGAATTCCACCTTGTTCTCCTTGTCCTGTTACTCTTTGCCCAATTCATCGTCCATTTATACTGTATTCCAAGACCTATATGCTGATAGAGCTCAAGAGATTGTCCATCTAACTGCATGTCATCATCTGGACAGGAAGCATATGTGTGTGAATGCATGTATGTATGTATATATGACACCTTTCTACTACCCACTACCCTTGTAGTTGTTGATTTACTAGATGATCTTCATTTTTAGTTTCTTGGAGTGTGATTTCTAGTAATATTTTCATTACAGCAAAATAATTAGGTTATTATTTGAAGTTCATTATAATGGATTTTTACTCATTAAATATCTTCTTACAAATTGAATAATTTATACACACACACGCAGTGCAGAGTTTATTAAATAAGATACTATCATTCCATTCTTGATGTCATGATTGTAGGGAGAATGGGGGCACATAACGGTGAAGAGGATGAAGAAAGCATAGGCAGCATCTTTCATTGCACATAGGACATTCTTCTAGGATCCTTCCAAACAGCTGATTAAATGATGACTGATTCTGCCAATGTTTCTTTTCTGTTCTTTCCTTCCTGTCCTGTCTTGTCTCATTGTGGTATCACTGGATCAAAGGATATGCACAATTGAGTTTTTTGTTTTTTTCAGGTACAGCTCCAAATTACTTTATAAAATGGCTAGATTAATTCACAATTCCACCAACAGTGCATTAGCATGCTTTTCCTCCCACAACTTTTCTAAAAATTGTCATTTTCCTTTTTTATTATCTTTACCAATCTAATAGGTATAAGGTGGAACTTCACCATCATTTAAATGTGCATTTTTCTTGATATTAGTGATTTAGATTTTTTTTTTCATATGGCTGTTGGTATCTTCTTTTTCTTCCTTTGAGAACTTCCTGTTCTTAGTCATTTAGCTATTAGGGAATGGCTTTTGTTCTTGTATATTTGAATCAATTCCTTACATAGCTTAGATAACAGACCTTTAATAGAGAAATTTGCTACAAAGATTTTTTTCCCAAGCTAATTGTTTCCCTTTTCATTTTAACTAAATTGATCCTATTTGTGCAGAAGCTTTTCAACGTTAAGTAGTAAAAATTGTCTATTTTATCTTAAGTGATCCTCTTTAATCTTTTCTTTGGTCATGAACTCTTCTCCTATTCATAGTTGTTTATCTCTTCACTTGTTACTCTTACTTTTTTCATATGACCTTTTATAACTAGGTCACATATTTGTTTGTAGCTTATTGTTGGAATAAGGTGTGAGACATTGGTCTTTATCTAGTTTCTGTCAGACTGCTTTCCAATTTCTCCAGAAATTTTTGTTGAAGTGTGAGTCCTTACCTTAGTACTTTTGTAGTCTTTGGATTTATAAAATATTGTGCTGCTTTTTTTGTATAGTTGATCTAATCCTAATTTTTCTACTTTTTAACCACTGCCAAATAGTGTTGATAACTGATGCTTTGTAGTGCAAGTTTCAGATTTGGTACTGCTAGGCCCCTTTCTTCTTACTTTTTTTTCGTATTATTTCTTTAGATAATCTTGACATTTTACTCTAGTTGAATTTTATTATATTTTTTTCTCAGTCTGTAAAGTAATCCTATAGTTTGGAATGGCAATGAATAAGTAAATTGATTTAGGTAGTATTGTCATTTTTATTAAATTGGCACAGCCAAACAATGATCAGTGAATATCTTTCCATTTATTTAGGTCTGTATTTCTGTAAAGAGTGTTTTGTGGTTGGATTAATATAGTTCCTCTATAATTTGGTATGTGGACTCTCAAATACTTTGTACATTTTGTAGTTATTTTGAATGAAATTTCTCCATCTCTTCCTGCTAGGTTTTGTTGGTAATATATAGAAAAGCTGATGATCTATGTGAATTTATTTTATATCTTGAAACTTTGCTAAAATTAATTGTTTCAATTAATTTTTTGGTTGACACCCTAGGGTTCTCTAAGTAGATCATCATATAATCTGCCAAAACAAACAACAAACCCACCCAGTGATTTTGATTCTCTTCACTGATACTTATTACTTCAATTTACTTTTCTTATTGATATAGTTAGCATTTTTAAAACTTTACCAAATAATAGTGGTAATAATGGACATCCTTGTTTTACTCCTAATTATATTAGAAAGACCTTTTAATACTTTCTCCATTATATATAATGCTGGCTCTTGGATTTAGATACTCTTTACCATATCAGGAAAAGGTACATTTATGTTTATGCTTTTTTTAGTGTTTTTAACAAAAACCCGTGTCATGTTTTTTCAAAAACTTTCTTCTGCATATTTTGATAAGATAAGGTGATTTAAAATTATTTTTATATTAATATAGTCTTATTTTTATAATTTTTTATTTTTGAACCAACTTTTGCATTTTTGGCATAACTCCAATCTGATCACAACATATAATCTTTGTAATATCTTGCTGTAGCTTCTTTGCCAATATTTTGTTAAATATAGTCATATTAATATTAAGGATATTGGCATGTAGTTTCTTCCTCTGTTTCATCGCTTCTTGGTTCTGGCATCAAGACTATACCTGTATCATAGAAGGAATTTGGTAGAATCCCTTATTTTCCTAATTTTGAAAACAATGTAATATCAGAATTAATTGCTCTTAGACTATTTGATGAAATTCACTTTAAATCCATTGGATTGTGAGTTTTTTTCCCCTTATGAATTAATTTATGGCTTGATCAGTTCCTTTTTCTGCTATTGGGTTATTCAAATTTTCTATTTCTGTTAATCTGTTATTTCGTATTTCTGTAAATATCCATCCATTTCATTTAAATGATTAGTTATGGGCATATAGCTGGGCAAAATAGTTTCTTTTTAAAAATAATACTTAATTTTTTCCCAATTACATGTGAAGATAAGCAAAATCGTTTTTTTAATAATATTTTTCTCAACTACATGTTAAAACAATTTTAACATTTTTTAAAGTTTTGAGTTCCAAATTCTATCCTTCCCTCCCTTCTCTCCTCCCTGAAATGGTAAGCAATCTGATATAGATTATATATGTGCAATCATGTAAAATATTTCCATATTAGTCATTTTTTATAAGAAGACTTAAAAAAGGGGAAAAAAGTGAAAAATAGTATGCTTCAGTCTGCATTCAGACAACATCAGTTCTTTCTCTGGAACATCAATAGCAGGTTTCATCATGAGTCCTATGGGGTTCTCTTGAATCATTGTATTCCTGAGAATAGCTTCATTGTACAATATTGCTGTTACTCTGTGCAATGTTTTCCTGGTTCTGCTCACTTCACTTTGCATCACTTCATGTAAGCCTTTCCAGGTTTTTCTGAAATCATTCTGCCTTTCAATTCTTATCACACAAATAATATTCCACCGCAATCATATATGTATTCCACCACAATCATATATCACAGCTTGTTTAGCCATTCCCCAATTGATGGGATCCCCTTCATTTCCAATTCTTAGCCATCACAAAAAGAACTGCTATAAATATTTTTGTACAAATAGGTCCTTTTCTCTTTTAAAAAAATCTCTTTAGGGTACAGTGCTATAAGCAAAATAGTTTTTAATAATTTCTTTTATTTTTTTCACTTCATTTGTTATGAATTCTCCCTTTTCATTTTTGATACTAGCATTTTGATTTTCCTCTCTTTTAAATCATACTCGATAATGGTATATCTGTTTTATTGTCTTCCCCCATCAAAAAACAAAAAACCTAGCTCTTAGTTTGTATTTTTAAATCAATATGGTGGGATTCTTGCTTTCAGTTTAGTTCATTTCTTCTCTGATTTTTAGAATTTCTGATTTGGTGTTTACTTGTAGTATTTTAATTTATTGCTAACCTAATATTTTTAGTTATATGCCTAATTTATTGACCTGTCCTTTCTCTTTTTCGTTCATTATTTAAATTGTTTTGTCCTTCCCCTGTTTGTCCTTCAAAGCCTTCCATAGTCTAGGCCCCTCCCCCATACCCTTTTAGTCTTCTTATGCTATACAGTTCCCACCCTCCTCCCCATACACATACTCTTCAATTCACTGGCCTCCTTCCTGTTCCTCAAAAAAGTCACTCCAACTCCCAGCATTTTCATAGGCTGTCCCTCGTGAATGGAATGTTCTCCTTCCTTGTCTCTGT